TGTGTCTGACACCCTAGAGAGCTGCAGTCAGTGAGTGTTGACCACAGTGGTACAGAAAGACCAGTGCTGTGCCTTCGTATGAGGCAACTTCAGGCATTTATTGGAAAGGCCACCAGGTCAGAGAATACTGTTTGCAGAAGGCCTTGGAGCCTTCCATTGCTCTTTGGGGTATTTTCTTTTTCACCATTAAAAATGAAGCCCATTGCAAATGGAGAATTGTAGATGGGTCGCTTGAGCTTCAGCATCTGAATAAAGCTATTCTTGCTTTTCTCCATTCGTTGCACGGAGAGAAGAATTTCCACTGTCCAAGCCTGACCTGCTGTCCCAACTGGAACGAAATGATGAAGCAACAACTCTTGACTTGCAGGAGCCGGGAGCCGTCCCTCCAGGTGAGTGATGGGCTTAATCAGGAGGTCTGGATTTCACTGCTAAAATAATGCCCGAGCTCTGCCGCCAGGAAGCCCAGCTTGTGCATCCAGAATAAGTTCTGCATGTGAATTTTTCATTGCATATATTTTATCAGAATGTTATAATCCCCCTTCTAAAAAAAACTAGGATAAATGCCTTAGTTTTTGCACTGCAGAATTCTATGCACATGGATTCTGAATTTTTGAATTCTGCAATGTTTGCTGTGGAATTTGCAACTATTACACATATTCACCTACCATAGAGATTTGTTTTAGAGAGGGTTCTCATAAATGAGGCTGTAAGTGTATTTCTGGACATACCAATCCACTGTGTGTGGGCAGACCATTTCAGATGGGAGGAGGGAGCTCGCACAACGGAATGTTCCTCTACAGAAAAATATTCCCCATACAGAGAATCTAGATGTCGAGGAGAAAGCTTCTAGCCTACTATTATCTGTGAAGTGCTGATTTCTTTATGTGGGGAAGGTGGTTTTTTGTTTGTTTCTTGTATGGGAGGGCATTCAGTCATGTGAATTTCCACCTGCAGTCTGAAATAGTACAATCCAGATACAAGCTTACCACTTCACCTGCTGTTTGTGGGTGGTGTGAAGGGGACTTTTTTACAGAGAGTTTAAATTAATAAAAGAAAAACTTAACAAAGGACTGGAAAAGCACTGGAGCAGCACAGTCACTGGAATCCTAAATAATTTTCAGCACAATCCACCAGAAACATCCCTTATGCACATGATGCTATCTTATGCAGAGTCAGACCACTGGGGAGGGTCTGTGGTTCAGTGGAAGAGTGTCTGCTTTGCATGCAGATGGTCGCAGGTTTAATCCCCAGTGAATGGGACAGGGTAGCAAATGATGTGAAAGACCCCTGCCTGAGACCCTGGAGAGCCAGTCAGGGTAGGCAGTACTGACCTTGATGGACCAGTGGTCTGATTCACTGGTCTATCAAGGTCAGTACTGTCTACTCTGACTAACAGTGGTTCTCCAGAGTCACAGGCAGAGGTCCACATCCCCCGTGACCTGCTTCTTTTAAGTGGAGACACCAGGGATTGAACCTGAGACCGTGTGCATGCAAAGCATAATTTTCTGCCACTGAGCCTTTTTGCAAACCTCATTCAAACTCACACACAGTATCAAGAGCATAGACGCACTGTTGCCCAATGCCCATTCATCTCTACGGGTCTTGCATGGGAGGAAGGAGGTGCTGTTGTAAGGATGCCCTGCATGGCTGTTGCTAAAGACCTTGAACTCTCAGAATTTTCAGAACGCTGTTAAGGTATTCTTTTCTTACTGGTGAACTGGGAATTCCTGTAATGCTGAGAACATCATAAGTGCGCCAGTCTCCATTCCATGTGTTTCATTTGGGTTGCTTCTTCCCGTTGTTGGTTATTCCAGCCGTAGGTGAGAACGCGGAGGGAGAGAACTGTCCAGCACAGGAAGATTCCAAAGTGGCTGAACTCACGGGGGAGGCCTCCAAGGATCCTGAGGTCGGGCCGCTGAGCCCCGAGGACTGGGCTGAGCACCCCTCCCTCCCCCCACCTCCCTCTCCTCTGCCACCTCCGAACCCCAACGTCTGCCAGGAATGCGGCAAAGCCTTCAGCCACAAATCCGCCTTGGTGAAACACCAGAAGATCCACACCGGAGAGAAGCCCTACGAGTGTGAGAAGTGTGGGAAGAGCTTCATTCAGCGCTCAGACCTGACTATCCACCAGAGGACCCACACCGGGGAGAGGCCCTACCGGTGCCCCGACTGCGGGAAGAGCTTCAGCGTCAGCTCCACTCTGCTGACCCACCAGCGGATCCACGCGCCGGGAGGCGAGAAACCGAATCGCTGCCCCGAGTGTGGGAAATGCTTCAATGATCCGGCGGCACTGGAACGGCACCGCAAAAGTCACACGGGAGAGAAACCCCACGAGTGTGGGGACTGTGGGAAAAGTTTTGCCTGGAGCTCCCACCTGGAGAGGCACCGGCGAATCCATACGGGGGAGAAACCTTACCAGTGCCCCGAATGCGGCCGAGCCTTTGCTTGGAGCTCCCACTTGGACCGTCACATGCGCACCCACGCCGTGTCAGCTCTGCCTGAGGAGGCGCCACCCTCCAAGTGCGCAGACTGTGGGAAGCGAGTCAACCACATCACGCACCCACATCGTTTCAAGCACAAGGGCACCCAGACCCCTCTGGAGCACGAGGACGGGGAGAGGGCCAAGGAGGAAGCCACAGAGAAGGAGAGGCCCCATCGGTGCGCGCTGTGTGGGAAGGGCTTCAGCCAAAGCTCCAACCTGCTCAAACACCAGCGCGTCCACACCGGAGAGAAGCCTTACCAATGCTCGGAATGTGGGCGGCGGTTTAGCTGGTGCTCCGCCCTCCTCAAGCACCAGCGCACCCACAGCAAGGACAGGCCACACGCTTGTCCAGAATGTGCCCGGGGTTTCAGGGACCCCACCTCCCTGGCCAAGCACCGGCTCAGTCACGCTGGCGGGAAGCCTCACCAGTGTCTGGACTGCAGCAAAAGTTTTGAGTGGAGCTCCCACCTGGAGAGACACCAACGGAGCCACACAGGAGAAAAGCCCTACGAATGCGGGGACTGTGGCCGGGGGTTCACTGTGGGGTCCCACTTGGAGAGGCACCGGCAGATCCACACCAGGGCCCGCCCTCACGGCTGTGGGGACTGCGGCAAAACCTTTGCCTTAGGGGCCACGCTGGCCAGCCATCAGCACCTCCAGGACGCTGAAGCCGAGCCTCACCGATGCCCCGAATGCGGGAGAGGGTTCAGTGCCACCGCTGTGCTGGAACGTCACCGCCGGCTGCATCGCAGCGAGAAGCCCTATCAGTGCAATGTCTGTGGCAAAGGCTTCGCCTGGAGCTCACACTTTGACCGCCACAAGCTCTCACATACTGGGGAGAAGCCTTTCCCCTGCACGTACTGCGGGAAGTGTTTTGGACGCAGCTCCCACCGCAACCGGCACCAGCGCTCCCATGCCGTCGTCCCCGAAGGCCAAGACCAGCCACAGGACAGCCCGCAGGATGATTTACCAACAGCGGCAGTGGCCGACTGGTGGGAGGGGGAAGGAGACAGAAGACCCTCACTGGAGCAGCAGGAAGCCTGGCCTGTCACATTGGACCCCGTGGTCCCTTTCCAGTGGACAGGCAAGTCTCCTGGAGACACATGGAGAACAATGGGGGGAAGTGACCTTGGGCAGGGGGCAGAGAATTTGACACATCCTGTAGAAAGTTGGACTCAGCCGCCGCCTCCAGTTTCCCCTCCTAACCTCCCTTGACTTATGTCTGTGCAAACTGCGTTCCTTTGTTAAGCTGTCTTTTCAGAAATGCCGGTCCTCTTTGTCACCCCTATGGGATTAGCTAGTCAACCCATCTTTGGGGCAAGAAGGAACGGTGAGTTCCTAGTTTCTTGGGTTTCTGGGAGGCGGAGAAGGAAGAGGCTCACTGTACAATGCTTTACTCCCCCCCCCACCTCCTTTTAAAAGAAATTTCACCCTACGACAGTGAGGTGGATTGTTATTGAGAGCCAGTTCGGTATAGTGGTTAAGAGCGCGGATTCTAATCTCGGAGAACCGGGTTTGATTCCCCACTCCTCCACATGCAGCCAACTGGATGACCTTGGGTCAGTTACAAGTTCTCTCAGAGCTGTCCTCTCAAGGACAGTTCTCGAAAGCGTTCTCTCAGCCCCACCTACTCACAGGGTGTCTATTGTGGGGGGGAGGAAGGGAAGGTGATTGTAAGCCGCTCTGAGACTTCGAGTGAAGGATATAAATCCAATCTGTTCTCTTCTCCTTCTTGATGCCCATTGCACGGAAGAACAGAGACCGGCCAGCCAGGGAAATTCTGCCAGGGCAAGTCTTCTTTGGATGACCTGAACAATCAACTGCATCTTGAGGAGCAGTCTGTGAATAGAGAGACGCGGTTTATTTTTTAAAGCGCATCACTGACGTCACAGTTTATCCAGTGTGGGCTTTCCGTGGCTTTTTCAGCTACAATGAATTAGGGAGCCTTAGCCTGCCATTTCATGCCAAGTTACCCAGAGGCAGATGCCGCCTTTGGGCCTAAAATGCACTTCTAAGAATCTCTTTCACCACCTGGATTTAGAATCAGGATATATGTATGCGGGTATTTTTTGTTTGCTTTCACGTTTTCAAATTCCTGCAAGTGGTATGCGTGCAAATGTTTTGTTTGGATGGGTAACAGCCACCCAGAGCAGTACTGCATGTCTACAGAAGTGGGTTTTCTATGAAAGAGCACCCTAAGAATAACAGCTCCCAGTTTCTAGCCCTCTTGGTTGCAGAGAAATTTTTGGAAATGCAGGAACAGAGGAAGGGCTCTCTGTGTGTAGGTTGGGGGCGGGGGGGAGAGCGCCATTATTCCACTTTACCACTCATTGTAATCGAGTCTGTGTTCATTTCTGTGCATAGGCAGAATTTGGTACCCCAAGTAACTCAGCTTTCATTACAGGGAGAAAAGTAGAATCGCAGTCCTTACAGTGAAGAGTTAACACTGACATGGGCACTGCAGGTAAAATCTGAAGAAAGCTTCCATAGATCAAGGTATAATGGTTAATGGCTGTGAAATAATATCCAGCAGAAGAGGAAGGATTAAACACCTGTTTTGCGTGCAGATTCAGGACCTGGACGTAGAAAAGACCACTACCACAAAACTGAGCTAGAGAAGTCAATTGTCAAAGGCAGCTTTATATACATTCATATGCATAACGCAGAACTATCCGTTTGCATTGCCAGAGGGGTTACGGAATCGCAGCTCCTCTTGGCCCAGAAGCTGAGTTACCAGAGTTCGAAAAGTCTTTATTGTCGTGTTTCTTTTTTAAGCCCTGACCCCGATTATAACTTCTCACTGACGCACACTTCCTTCTTATTTAATTCCACCACTTCCCCAGTCTGTGCTTCCCGTGCCCTTTCCTCCTTGTCACTGTACTCCTTGCCCAAATGCATTGGAAATCTGGACCTTGAATGCTAAGTAAAGCTGAATGGATGTCTATCTGCTGGATTTGCATGGGTTTGTTTGGATTAATAATCCAATTAATAATCTTCTATACATTAATATCCTTGAAACTTCTACCAAAGCCCTTCCCCCCCCCCCCCAATTGATTTATTTAAAATAAGAGAAGCAGTGTTGGATCAGGCCAATGGCTCGCCCAGTCACACAGTGGCCAAAGCCCAGGTGCCATCAGGAGATCCACCAGCGGGGCCAGAACTCCAGATTCCCTCCCACTGTGCCCCAGCACCAGGAATACAGAGCATCACTTGCCCCAGAGTGTCCCACCTATACCTTGTGGCTAATAAGCCACTGATGGGACTCTGCTCCATGTGTTTATCTCATCTCCTCTTGAAGCTGCCTCAGCAATTTGCCCGATGCTTTGTACTCCCTCTTGAAGCTGCCGACCTTCACAACCGCAGGCAGCCTCAGCAATTTGCCCGATGCTTTGTACTAGCTACGAGATGGCCAGGGACAGCTGCACCTAAAGCTACATAAATTTGCATTAAATAGGGTTACACAGAGTCATTTTTAAGATTTTGGTGGAATCCATTTTTAAAACTCAAATTAGTCGGCACATTGATGAACAAAAGCTGTCGAGGATTCCCAGGCCAGGGTACACACCCCGAGTCAGTACTGAACATCCTGGCAGGATCACAGAGGGGCTGACAGTAGGCACCAATAGCCTCTCTCTGTGCTGAACAACCACAAACCCCAAGGCCTTCTGGAAACCGTCTCAAGGCCACGGGGAGGGGGGGAAATCACACCAGCAGAGTCTGCAGCAGTCCAACACAAAGAGGCAGAAGTTCCCCTCTTGCAGTTAAGTTCAGTAAGTCAACTTGGGCTTGCCCTCAGCCGCCTCTCAAGATTGTTTGGCAGTTTTGTTGCTGCTTAAGACAATAGTGAAACTTCTATAGACAGGTTTCAGCCTCAGGGCCTCTTTAAACACTAGCCTTTTCCCTCGAAGCCTCCGCAGATCATGACCCAATGGGAGTAGATCATGACCCAGTGGGATTCCTGATCGAAGGAAAGGCAGGCTAGTTTCAAAAGGGCTCTTTCATTATTCCACACACAAGGACACTGTAATGTCCGGGGCAAACGAGGCAACCTAATTAGAGGAATGAGTTGCTACTGTGATTCTTCCCTGACCTGGATAGTCCAGGCTAGGCAGATCTCGGAAGCAAAGCAAGACCAGCCCTGGTTAGTATTTGGATACGAATTTCTGGAAAGCAAATGGCAAACCACCAGCTGCGACTTGACGGCACTTTCTACCACCAGTGCAATTCTGCTTCCCCTTTTTGCCCACCTGGACGTGGCCTGAACCAGGGCTGATGCAGAATGATTCTAAGGCTGCCACTGCAGCCTCTCCCCTTCTCCCCCTGTGCACCCATGGCAGCCTTTTAGTTGCCACCATCTTATTTGTTCCCTCCCCATACTGAAGGCGGCCCCTGCTGTTGTGGGTCACAAAACTGACACAAGGAAGGCTGAAGCCTCCTCTCCCCCCCCCCATGTGTGCTGTAGTCCCAAACCTATGGAAAACAAGCGCCCACACCCTTGGCCACATTACATGTCAAAACACACATCTAGTTCCCGTACACAGCAAATAAACCAGATGCACACACAATACATGGTAGTGGTTTGGGTTTTTTTTAACTTTATTACTCCTAACCAACAACAAAGGAATCAGAGCTTAGAAACATCTTTCTCTATATGTCATTTCAAAGGGGGGGGGGAGAAAAGAGAGAACCCTAAACAGGGGGGGGGACAGACAACAATGATAACAATACTTGCTTTGGATAAAAACAAAGGAGGGGGGGGGACAAAACAAAAACACTTTGTTTTCAAAACAGGTATTCCAAAAAAGCAATAAAGTAAAAATGCACCTCTGCCGGAGAACGGGTGGAACGGGTGAAGGGGCTGGTTGTGAAGTGCAGAGGCAGACACAGTAACAGAAGCAGAGCACCCGATGCAGTGCCAGGGGACGCCGGAGACCCAGCCGTCCCCAACAGGCGGCCACTAGATGACTCGCTGGGAGGAGAGAGCGTGCGGCGGATCTGAACCCTGTGGGTGCAACATCACAGCATTTGAGACAGCAGCTGCCGGCAGAGGAGGGGCTTCTTCCCACAAGCCAGATGCCGGCATTGCCTCCGCGGACCCCTCCAGAGGGATTGACTCTTTCAGTCGGTCATCCTGGAAGCAGGATTCTGAGGTAGGTGTTAGGAGAGGGAGCAAGGGACAGGGGGGGGGGGGGGGGGGGGCAGGGGCACGGCAGCCAGATCAGCCAGTTCAACACTCCTAAGCGTCGGAGATCCTTCGCCCTTCCCTCCCATCACAAACTTACAGGGAACGTTTCTTTGCTGGTAACCCAAGGTGCGCTCCTCTCCCTCGTACACAAGAGACCCAAGCAGCAGCCATGGTCAGTAGTAACACCTGCCCTCCCCCAGCAGCCTCTGCCACCAACCCGCAGGGCTGAGTGAAGCTGCCAGCCAGCCAGCCGCCCACCCCCCTCTCCCAGCCTTACAGCAGTCAATCCCGTAAGTTAGCCTCACGCTGCAAAACAGGAGTGCCCGTCTCCCCTCAAGTGAAAATACTTCAGCTGCCTTCAGTAGCGCCGCTAGGGTGCCGCCTTTCTTGAAGTTAGCCTCAAGGTCTGCTTCTTTAACCTCATACTCCAATCACACATCACCCGCGCCCCCCAAAAAGAAAAAGAAAAAACATAAAGGCTCCATTTCTGAGCCAGGCAGGGTCTCCCCTCTGAGGGGAAAAAAAAAAAACCCTCTTCCTTTCTTGATTTTCTTTAAAGCCACACCAAGAAGATTCCCAGATTCCTGGGCACCTGGAAAGATGCTGCTGCCGCTTAGAAATCTGACTTTAAAAAAAAACAGGTTAGTGCAGGGCTGGTTTTGAGACCTGGGGATGCCCCTCCCACACCCAAATAGGAACTAGGACTTTTAACATATTCTTCATGCTTCAAATCTGACTTGCCACCCATATGCCACCCGCCCGCCCCCAGGAGGCACAGACCGGCGGCTTCCCCATTCCAAAAGCTTGGGTCTCTCTGGTTGTCTTATCCCTTACTACGTGGCACCTTCTGCCCCAACCCCAGGTGGCTTCCTTCACACCATTGTCTCCCATTTCCTTGGTAACCAGATCTCCCCTTTACACATCTCCATGCCTTTGACCAAGTTGAAAAAAAAAAAAAAAACCCCAACCAAGGGGTAAGAGCACCAAACACATGGGCTAGCTCAAGAAGTGGCTTGTAAGCCCAGCATCCCCCTCCCTCCCCGTCTACACAGTGGCGGCTTTAATGGCCAGAATGCCTCCGTTCCCTCAGCTTCTCCAGATCAGGAGAAGGAAGCGGCTGGGGATTCCTGGGCTTGGAAGGCGTCTTTTCCCCAAATCACCTTGCAAGCCGAAACTGAGCAGCTGGGACTCTCACAGCCACAAAGAAACCAACTGAAACTCCCCACCCATCCACAAGTTGCTAGATGAAGCACAAAGTCTGGCTAGCTATTGCCGCAGCTGAGGTACCACAGCCTCACGTGGGACTGCCGCAATACAATT